AGCCTCCTGCTGTCTGCCAGCTGTCAAATTGGCCCAGGGCTGGGGATCCATCCCCCGATGGATTCTTTGTGGATTTGGGAAAGCTTGAGATGCTCCAGAACCACATGGGAGTGAGTCAGTCCCGTGTCATGGCTTGGACACTCTTCTGTCTCAGGCACTCCAGCTTCAAAAGTTGATTTTGGGGGATCTTCTGTATAAATTTAGAAGTTTTGGGAACACTCAGTTGCAAGTGGCCCTGAAAAAAAATCCTGATTTTTTTTTTTTTTTTTTTTAGGAAAATCCAAGTTCTGGCTGCTGCTTCCTTAGGGAAGGATTAACAGATGGAGATACATGAACAGAGCCACTCCTGGAGTTCTGATTGCTGTCACTCCAATTCAGAACTGCACATTTTTCCATCCCCTCATGCTTCATGGAGGGATTTTGACCTGTTTTTTCTTCAACACTCTTATGTTGAAGGCACCCCTGGCTCTCAGAATAGACTGGGAGATGAGTACTTAATAATTTAAATTAAATAAAAGGTAGAAAATATCATTTCACCGGGGTAAAGAAGCAGCAGGTAGAAATGACTCCTGGTTTCCCTAGGGAAATACTGGGAAGATCTGAGAGGCAAGAGGGATGAAATGGGGCCACTGGAAAGTTAAAAATGAGGATTCTTCCCAAAATCTGTGCAGCTGGTCCAGGCTCTGCTCCCAGTTCTGCCACTGCTCTGCTCTGTGAGTTGGGGTGACTCATTTCCTTTTGCATTCAATGGCTCCCTCTTGCTCCTGTCTGTTTAGATTCCAAATTTTTTCCTACCAGGAGCTGCTTGTGCTGTGTGGGACAGACCCAAGTGTGCTGTGACCAAGAGAGAGCCTTGCACACATCAATGAGGGACCAGAAAACACATTTTATGTGATTTATTTTTTAACAGCATTTAAATTTAAACAATCATCGCAAATACTTAAAATTTTTTACTAAAATTATTTCTCTAGAGAAGTGATTTTTCAGATTTACCTGAGTTTGGTCATGCCAAAAATATTAAATTTAACAGAAAACTATAATTTACACCTGCTCTGTGGGTGTCTGTGAGTTGCTGCTTTGTGTCTCTTTTTCCATCCCTGATTTATTTGCTGCCTGTTGTTTTCTCATTTCTCCTTGGTCAGTTGTTTTTTTTGGGTAGCTTCTGTCTGGACTTTAAAAAAAAAAAAAAAAAAGAAAAAAAGAAACAAATGAATGCTGGTTTCCTGGGCAATTTCTCTGTTTTTGTAACTGGTTTTTATTAATGCTTTTGAGATGAATCCCAGCAATCTGAAGCTTTCCAGCCAAAGGAGGTGTTTAAATTTTGTGCCATCCAAGGGTGCTGGAATTCAGGGAGTTTTGGAGATGCCTTGTGGGTGCAGACAGAGCTCTGTGACCTGCTCCAAGGACAGCAGAGCTGGAAGAACACACAGACACACGGATTAATGGGAATAATCCACGCAGCTGGAAAACTCTGCAGTTTAACTCCTCGCTTGGGCACATCCAGCTCTGTCCCAGACAATCTGCACAGCTCAGCAGATCCAAACCCTCTCAGCATTTCCACCTGAATAAACTCCTGCATTCCTGGACATGCACATGAATTAATTTCTGCTCTTTGGGTTGTAGGGAAGTGGAGATTCGAGGCAGAAGTTGAGGAGCTGCCTGCAAAGGACAGCCCCAAACCCACCTGCTGTTCCTATTTCTCTGGTTTTGCTTCAAAAATGGAGCCTCAGGCTGCACCAGGGGAGGCTCAGGTTGGACAACAGGAGGAATTCTCCCATGGAAAAGGTTGTTAAATGTGGGAATTTAACACAGGGAGGTTTGGAGTGCCCATTTTGGAGGTGTCCCGGGAATTCTTAGAGCTCTGGGCTGGGGACAAGGTGGGGATTGAGGTTGGACTCAATCTTGGAGCTCTTTTCCAGCCTCAGCAGTGCTGGGATTGAGGAGTGCTTGGTGTGAAAAATGCATATTTTGTGATTGGCTTTTTGCAAATATTACAATGAATATTATATGTGTAATGTTGGAAAATTATGCTGTATTAATTCTCCTATTCTTATACAATTCTCTCTTGTAGTGTCTTAAATATAGTTTTAGGGTCTAACATAATGTTAAAATAGAGATTATGTATGTGGGGGAAGTTTTTTTGTTTTTAGGAATGAGATACTCGCTTCCAGGAACACCTAAATCTTCCAGAGAAAAGGAATTTATAGTTTTCTTATCAGAAGAAACTAATTTCTTCAGGCCTTGCTCAGACTCGAAGCCTTAAAAATTAGAGGAAACAGTTGACATACAACAGAGAGATTTCTTGTTTTAAATAGAATGTATGCATAACCATAAAAGATATATAAATATACAACAGGCTATTACTTTTAAAGTTATTCCTTTATCCACAAAATATATTTTCCATAACTTAATATCCAAAAACATCCAAACGTCCATAATTCTTTACTTTTTTATTGTCTTATAATTATCCTAACTCTAAATTTTATTACTCTTATTATATTACTATTTTTATAACCATTTCCTTATGATTAAACTTGTAAAAAAATTAAAAACCAAATAGTGAACATTTTTCACAGAGTGAAATGAAACAAAAAAAAAAAAAACCCACATCTTCTGAGAGCATCACCTTGTCGTTCTGGCTGTGCCCTTCAGAGGAGGCAGCTCAGGGTTTTTTTGTGTTTGTGGCTGGGGAACAAGCAGGGTAATGCTGGGGGAGAGGAGCCTGGCGTGTTCCAGCCCTGCAGTAATGACAGCCTCTGCTTGGCAGCCCTCTCATTGTGGTTGCCTTTCCATTTTGCCTTTAGTTCACAGGTCTTGCTCTAAACTGGATTATTTCAGGCTTGCTTAAGGGGTTCGTGGCAGCTGGGAGTTTTGGTTTCAAGAGAAAAGCTTTGCCACCAAGTGAAAAATGAAAATGGTGTTGGTGTAAATTAACCCTGAACTGCCATGCCTTTCTTGTGCTGTTCCCATGCAAAGTTCTTTTTTTTAATCCATATTTTATTTTGAATTTTATTTTTCCTTGCTGCTTTTGCCAGTGCCAATTAGCTGTACTCTTGTACTCTTTATTCCTAAACTGCAGCATTCCCTACTACTTTTCTGTTCCAATAATTTTATCCTTTCTTCTTCCTATGAGTAGGTATTTTCTCCTTTGATCCTGGTGAAACACTCTGGGTCCTGTATTTAAAGAAGCTGTTGATGATAACCCTGGAGAGCTGACAAATCCTGCACACAAGGCTTGTACTGTAATTTGTGTCAGCAGATCATTAATGCTGGCATTCCTTTTTAATTCATGTATTTATGGCTGTGAAGATGGGCTGGAAGGGACCACTTCCACTCCTGTTTCCCAGCGTTAGTGGCTCTCAAAAATTGCACTAAAGGATGGAGAGTTCCCCTTGGCGTCAGACATTTTTCCTTGATCTGATACTTGCTCAGTTTTTCTGGCTGCTGGTCTTCAATTTGGATTCCTTGGGAAGTCTCTCAGTGCAGCCTGAAAACAAAAATGGTAAAAATGGAAGGGATGGGGAGGAGTGTCACAGGGACATTTCTCTCTCTCTCAGGACTTTTCATAGAGGTGACAGAGGAGGAAACTTCTGACATCCACCTCTTCCCACAAGCCAATTACCCTGGTGACCCTGCACTTTCAGCAGAGCTTTGTCCACCTGAGTCGCTGCTTTAGATCTGAATTAGGTGTGAAATACCGATTTTCTTTTGCCACAATGAAAAAGAGGCGACTTTGGGAACAGGGGAGCCTTTCTTCTGCTGCTGACCCGATCCCCTGGCAGGTGCAGAGCCTGCAAAACCACCGCTGCAGCTGCTGGAAAGTCCCTTTGCCTTGCCTGGATAAAATTGCTTTCTCTGGTCAGGGTTTGTGGTCAGCTGGAGATGAGCAGTGGGCAGCCAAGGGATGCTCGGTATTGAGAGAATCAACCCCAATTCCCCTGGGAGTGGGGAAGGAGAAAAGCTGGGGAACACTGCTCAGCTCAGAACAGAGAAGCTGGTTTAAAATTCAACTTCTAGACCAGGAAAAATGTTGACACAGCTGCTCTTCCAGGATGTCTTTGGAGTAGCAAAGCCCCAGGAAGCAGGGCTGGCTGCAGACTGGGCAGGATTAGAGAGGGGACAAGGCATATATATATATATATATATAAAATAATTATAACAACCCCCTAAATGTGTCCCTTTCAACCCCTCTGTGAACCCCACAGAAGCTGCTGCTCTTCCCCTGGGTGATTTTAGGAGACTTCAGCCTTGTTCAGCCTGGACTTGGCTCCTTGCAGTCAGGAAATATCCAATCCATGACAGCAGCAACCACAGCAATCTGCTCCCTCCCAAAAACCCTGCAAGGCGAGGAGCAGGCAGTAACCTCTACAGTGCCACAGCTGGGAGGCAGAAAACTGGGGAAAAAAACCTTGGAATTGGAGCCTGGAAGGTGCTGCCCGTGGTTGGGAGGGAGCAGGGGAAGGAGAAAATGTTGGATTTGCTGTCTGTTAGGTGGGAGCAGCTTTTTGCCTCCCAGCCAGGCATTTTCCAGGCTGCTCTGAGCACAGCCTGGGCTGGCTCCCTGATGGAGACAACAGGAAAGGCTCCTGATTCCATGAGATTCCTTGAAATTCCCCGAGATTCCTTGAAATTCCCCGAGATTCCCTGAGATTCCTGGCCCAGCAGCTGCTCTGGGTCGGTGCTGTGGTTGTTGTGACACCTGGCACAGGTCAGGGACAGGGGAACAGGAGTTTTTGCTGCCTGCAGGTGGTTTGGGATAGGAATAATGGGAATTCCTGAGGCTGGCAAAGAGAAACTGATGGGATTAGGGTTGCAATTGGATTTGTTCATATCCAGGTGATGAGGGAGGGGCTGTCCCATCACCCCCAAATCTCCTCACTTCAGAGAAACGTCAGAGTTGGAGTTTCCAGGGAAATTTTTTGTTCTTCTCTGAAGATTATTTTAGCATTTTTCCCTAACCAGTTCTCTGGGTCTGTCTTGGATAGTGTGGAGTTAACAGCAGGCTTTTTTTTTTTTTTTTCATGGTCATATTATCTAAAAATAATAATAGCTGCAGTTTCTTGGAATTTGTTTGGAAGTGTCTGGTTCTGTCTGATGGTGGAGACAGGATCCTGGAGTGGGTGAAGTTCTGATCTGGATGCTCCCAAAGTTTCCCTTGTTGCAGTGTGTAATTATTTAAATGTTTATTTAGGAGGTTGTTTTAATACTCTCCTCTTTCCTGAAACTCTTCCCCCTCTGGGATAGAGGGAATCTATTTTCTGGTAGAGTAGAGAGACAGAGAAATGTCAGAAGGAAAAATTCAAGTATGGCAATTAAATTTATCCTCATGATCCCATGCGAAGTCTCCTGACTTTTGTTTTTAAGGCTCCTGACGTTTGTTTTTAAGTTCTCTTGTGGAGTCCCACAGACATTTAAGGACAGTGAGTTTTAATTCCCTTTCTTCACTTGATGATTACATTGATTGAATTGTAAAATCCAATAAATACAATCCACTAAATGGTGTTAACAATAACCTGACAACAGAAGTGAGAAAACAGAAAAATTGACCATATTTTAATTTTCATCTAGTATGTAATTTTACTTTTAATATCCTAGCAGCAGCTACTCTATTTCCTATTTTATACTTTATTTCCTGACTTTATACTCATTGTAATTTTCCTCTAAATACCCAGCCCTTGCTTACAAATCACAGGACAGGGTAAATATTGTTTTCTAGGTTGTCTTTGGAGACTGGAGCTGGGAGTAAAACCATATGAGGAGATCAAAACCCCATTGAAGGCAGCAGAATAAATCCAGTCTGGAGGAGTGTCAGACAAAGGCAGGAACAGCTGGATCAAGTAAAGCACGAGGAAAATTGCTTCCATCCCTAGGGGGAGGGAGAAAGATTTGTTTTGTCAGCCCAGAGCTGTGTGGGACCAACTTCAGCCGATGAAAGTTTGGATGTCAGAGTGAGGGAGGGCTCAGAAGGTGCCAGAGGGAGGGGAAGGAGGAGAGGGCTCTGCAGAAAGTGAGGGAAGGGAAGGGAAGGAGGTGGAGTAATCCTGCAGAATCTGAGCTGCTGTCCTCAGCTCTGGGGATGTAAACTGATGAGGTCATAGTGTTTTCCAGTTACAGAAAGGAAAGTTAAAGGGGAAAAAAAAAAGAAAAAAAAAAAGTCTTCAACTTGTTTTTCAAGAGAGGCGAAAACTCTGAGAAGCCGAAGAAATGGAGCAACTTGTGAAACTCCTCCTGTGGCAGATTTTGCTTCAGCAAAGTAAGCTCTGAGCTGCTGGTGTGGTGTTACTTGTTTTTATTTCAGCTGCACAACAGGGCTGGGGGTTGGCTACCAGATTTTGAAGCGTTATCTTTGCAAGACTTTGTTTAGATTCCTAAATTTACTCTGTTTTCATCTGGGGAGGGGAGGGAATTGTAGGTTTCCTCTCTGCTTTTTGGGGAGAGAATGGAAAAATGTTTGAGGTTGTATGAGCTCTGTTCAGCATGTTTGTGCAATTTTTTTTTTCCCTATCAGCAAATTCAAAACCAATAAGCTTGGTTGTGAGTACAGCAAAGCTTTCAGAGTCAGATGTACAGGATTTAAGGTTATTTTTTGATGTTTGAAACAGCTGGGGGGCTCTGTGTGTGAGGGTTCAGATGGAGGGGGAAAAAAAGGATGTGTGGTTTTTGGGTTGCTTTTCCTCTTGTCAGCATAAAGACAGACACAGGATTCACTTTTAGGTAGCAAGAAAGGAGGGTGGGAAGTGAGGAGCAGAAGTTTTTTGGGGAGTGCTGAGCCCCTGCTCTTCCCAGCCCTGTTACAAGGCTGTGGCTGACACCTGAGCCCCTCACTTCCTCAGCACTGAGGTGGAGTAAGGTGAGCAGCTCTCCCTTTGGTCCCCAATTAATCCACTTTCCGTGTCACCACGGCATTTTTGCGATGCCCCAAGGCAAGGTTTAGGGATTGGCAGATGATGGGATCAGTCATAGGGACAGAAGGGTTAAAGTGGCTCAGAAATCTGGGGTGTGGGGTGGCTTAAAGAGGAGGAAGAGGAGGAGGAGAGCCCACAGCTGTGTGCTCCAGGAGCACCAACCAGCCCAGTGAGTCCCAGGGAGCTTTGGCAGAGCAGCCAGGGCAGGAATAGCAGGTTGGGCTGCTGCAGAGCCAGAGCTCCCACCTGAGCAGGGATGATCTCTGCCAGAGCTTCAGGTGCATTTGGGGTTTACCCGGACCCACTCCAGGCAGCCCTGATGTTCGAGCCCACCCAAATCAGGTTATAACTCAAGAAGGAGGATGAGAAGGGTGGGAATGTGTGCTCTGAGGAAATCTGTGACCCCTCCTGCAGGGGAACCACTCCCTCAAGTGTTAATGTCTCAGGGAGAACAGCTCCGTGTTTGGAGTGGCTCTACAAATCCATTCCGTGGGCCTGCAGCCAAGGGGAAGCTCAAAAGGCTTTCTAAAGCTCGGCTAAAATCCCAGAAAAGCTGGGGCAGATCCCTGAGGGATCCTGTCTGTGCCCCAGGTGGGGACTGGCTCCTTGTGCAGACACAAGGATTTTCCTTTCTGCAGAGGCAGCACATTCCTGCTCTCTGCATGTTCCTACCTGCAGGCAGTGCAGGAATTGCTGGGGCTGGATGGGTGTTTAAGGGCTCTGACATCTTTTGGGAAGTGGGAGAATCTGCTGCTGGGAAAGTTGTCCCAGGAAGCCTTTAAAAATAAACAAACACAGAGATTTAGAGAAAATCCCAGAGCCTGGCTTGAGCATCAGTGGGCTTTGAAGGGAAATTCTGTTTTAGTGAAAAGCTGAGTCCTGCAGGCTGGGCAGGAGGTGAGTGGGAGAAGTTTAGGAGGAGCTGTTTTGCTCACCATATCTCTGTCTTCCAGATGAGCCCAGATGTTTCTCCTGGTTACTGCTCAGTGGGTTTAAATGACCTGGGCTTATTTATGTCACTGTCACCACGATGCTGCTGCACCAAAAGCCATCAGGGCCTCTCAGCCCCTTGAAGAGCCAGGATGGAGCCACTGCCACCCCCCAGAGGGTTTGGGGACAGTGTGGTGGCACAGAATGCTGCTTTTCCCATAATTGTGTAATGACAGAGCCCATGAAACATAAACAGAGGGATTTGTGGGAGAAAGGAGCAATCTGGCACACACAGATTTGGGGAAGAACATGTCCTTTTCTGTTCTGGTTGTTTTTCACCCCCCCCAGTATGAAACAGGAGCTCAGAGGTTTCATCAGCACCGAGCTGAGCAGCAGCTCCTGTGTTCCCAAGGAGGGAATTCAGCCCAGGATTGTTCAGGCAGGACTCAGGGGACAATTTTCTGTCCTTGTCCTGCTCCAGGGACAGAGCCTGGAGATTCTGAGCATGTCACATATCTTTCACAGCCCCAGCCTTTTGCTTCTAGTTTGCTCACAGTGGATTTTTTTTTTTTTTGGTGGCTTAATTCTTCACATGAAAAATGGATGGGATTCAAGAAGTAAGAGCTGGCTCTGCCTTTTACAAGGGATTAAGAAATCGTTTTCCAGGCTGCTTTCCTCTTCCTCTACTGTGGGACCACAGAGTATCTCTGGGATCCTGCTGACTCAGCACAGAACGTGTCAGGGACAGCACAGAATTGTCTTTTGTTGGTGGTTTTTTTTTTTTTTTGTGGTTACATCACCCAGAGAAGACAAAAGTGATTCTCCATCCCATGGAACTTGAAATTTTACAATGAAAGCCACAGTTGAGTCCTGTGTTGACAGCTCTGAAGGCTGCTGAGGTTTAGATTCTGCAGATCCTGGAGGCTTGTGAGGACAGAGGTCAGAGCTGTCACCAGGTGCACGAAGAGACTTTGGTTTTACACTTGACTCACCAAAATGTCTGCTTCCAGCTGAGCCCAGTGCTGCCTTCATGGGCTGACACCTTTAGTGGGCTGTTTTTAACTGTGTTCAGAAATCCTGCTCAGAAATCCCTGCTTCCCTTTATTTCTGCTCTCCCATCAGAGAGCTGATGGGATTCAAGAAGTAAGAGCTGACTCTGCCTTTTACAAGGGATTAAGAAATCGTTTTCCAGGCTGCTTTCCTCTTCTTGGGTTTGGCTGGGTGGAGAGATGAATGGTGGTGTTGTCCTGGGAATCTGTGTTGGGAATCAAAAGCCTGATGCCAGGAGACCTTTCAGACCCCTCCCACACAAGGAGCAGGAGGGACTGGACCAGAGAAATGCAGAATCAAAGGAATTGGTTCATCTCTGGCAAAGTTCTTTCCGTGTGGATCTGAGTCATGTGAGTTGGAGAGAGCTGATGCATCAGCATCACAGAATTAACTGTGCAGACCAAGTGTGTGGCTGGAGAGGGAAAAGGACATAAACATCCAGATTTAAACATCAGCAGAAACAGGGAAAGTGGGGAGTAGATGGAGCAGTGACAGAGGTGGCTGCTGACTTGGAGTGTATTTGTAGTTTTTTATCCTTTTGCTCTCAGTGACACTCTTTATTTTCTGCTTTGACAGGTTCTGTGTGCTCATATTCAGGTGAGTGATGTCTCTGTAAATCTGCCAGGTTTTGTGATCATGAGGAGGAGCGAGAGGGACCCTGATTCCGTGGCATGCACAGGGGCTTCATTCCTGACTTCCATGGATTGTGCATCCCATGCACTGGTGTCTCTAAACCTGGATTAAACTGGGGTTCAGGATTAGGAAGGGTGGGCAGGACAGCTCGAGTGTACAATCCTGATAACAGACATGAATGAAATCTGTGTGTTAAAGTTTTATTTTTTAGGGAAAGGTTCTTTCCCCTCAGGCAGGCACTGACCAAGCTCCCCAGGGAATGGTCCCAGCCTCAAGAGCTCCAGGAGGGTTTGGATACCACTCTCAGGGATGCATAGAGTGGAGTTTTTGGGGTGTTTGTGCAGAGATAAGGTTGGATCAGTGATTTCTGGGTCCCTTGCTGCTCAGGACTCTTTGATTTTCCATGATAGTGCCCCATGTTGGTCTTGAAACCAGAATCAAAAGCCTGCAGAGATTCCAGCCCCTCCTTCACACACCATTAATTCCACAACCCTACAACTTTTTGCTGTTTGCTCCTGCTTTTCCAGTCCCAGTTGATGCCTCCAACCCCAGCAGGGTGGTGGTGTCTGTGCTGAACAGGCTGCCCTGGGAATGGTCCCAACCCCAAGAGCTCCAGGATGCCACTCTCAGGGATGCACAGGGTGGGTTTTTTGGGGTGTCTATGCAGGGCTAAGGTTGGATCAGTGAATTTGGGTCCCTTCCAGCTCAGGATTCTCCATGACAGTGCCCCATGCAGGTCTTGAAACCAGAATCAAAAGCCTGCAGAAATTCCAGCACAACCCTGACTGCCCCTCCTTCACACACCATTAACTCCACAACCCTACAACTTTTTGCTGTTTGCTCCTGCTTTTCCAGTCCCAGCTGATGCCTCCAACCCCAGCAGCGTGGTGGTGTCTGTGCTGAACATCAGCGCTGCCCTGGGCTCCCAGGCCGTGCTGCCCTGCAAGAGCCACCGCATGGTTTGGACCCAGGACCGCCTCAACGACCGGCAGCGCGTGGTGCACTGGGACCTGCTCAGCTCCTACTATGGGGACAGCAGGATGGAGAGGCTCTGTGACATGTACTCAGCTGGGGACCAACGTGTCTACAGCTCCTACAACCAGGGCAGGATCCTCATGCCCGAGAATGCCTTTGCAGATGGGAATTTCTCGCTGGTGATCAAAGGTGTGGAGGTTTTTTCTTTTTTTTCCTCGATGGGGTTTGGGGGTTTTGGTGGAAATGGGTGGTTCACAGTATGTTTTTGATAAATGGATTTATGGTTTAGTTGAGGTGTTAGGGTGTGGGTGGGGCTGGATGATCTCTAAGATCTCTTCCGACCCAGTCATTCTGTGAATTCTGTGAATACCAGGTTAAAAAAGTCTTAATTCTCAGGAGGAATTTTAAGGTTTGGAAGGGGCTGCTCAGGGAGGTGGGGGAGTCCCCATCCCTGGTCTAGGAGCAATTTTAGGTGTGCCTGACTGTCCTTGACACTTGGAATTCAGGATTCCAGGCTCTGGGAGCAATCTCAGTGCACTGGTGGCACTCACTCCTCACCGTGGTTACTTGTGCACCTCCAAGTGTATCCCAGAAAACCTGCACAGCTCAGCACATTCAGCAGATCAAAACCCTCTCAACATTCCCTCTTACCAAATACCTGGACTCTTGCATTAATTAGTTTCTGCTCCTTGGGCACTTAGGGAGGTGGAGCTGGAGATTCAAAGCAGGAAGAAGTTGAGGAATTGCCCCCAAACCCTTGCACTGCTCCTGGGCAGCCCTCTGGTTTTGCTTCAAAGTGAAGCTTCCAGCTGCCCCAGGGGAGGTTCAGGCTGGATAAAGGAGGAGTTTTTCCCTGGCAAGGATTGTTAAACACGGGAATTGCTGCTTAGGGAGGTGGTGGAGTCCCCACCCCATGAGGTATCCAAGGAAGGACTGGACTCAGTGCTCTGGGCTGGGTGACAAGGTGGGGATTGAGGTTGGACTTGATATTGGAGCTCTTTCCCAACCTCAGTGATTCTGTGAAGTTCTCTGAAGCACTGAGTGTTTTAGTTGCCTTTGAAACCGATCTGTTTTGAAGGAGAATTTGTAACAACCTGAAAGCCATCTGGGTTTTTTGTGGCTCTTTGGTTGTGTTTCAGTTCCTGGACTATAAACACTCCATGGTCCTTGTTCCCATGCCTGCTCTCAGCTAAACCTAAACCAACTTCCTCTTTCTCAGCCACCTCTTTCTTCTTTTCCTTTCCTCTTTTTATTGTGTATTAATAGAAATACACAAATTTCTACTCACAAGAGCAAATCAACTGAACGAATTATTTCATGAGGTGACCAAATTGTTGTATTGGATGAGATGATTTGTCTCTGCTTAACCCACCCTGGTGATAAGGACAGCTTAGATCAAAGTTGTTGACATCCAGACAAGGATTTGGGAAACTGCAAATGACACAAACAATCATTGTCTCAGTATAAAACACTGCATTCCTCTCTCTTTCTTCCCTGCTCTACAGGTGTTGCAGAGAGTGATGCAGGCACATACTCCTGTAACCTTCACCATCACTACTGCCACTTGTATGAAACTGTGAAAATCCAGCTGGTCATCGCCAAGAAAGGTGGGTGTGGTGACACCTCCAGGCTCTACAGGAGCCTTGGGAAGCAGCAGGGAAACCTCGTGTGCTCTCTGTGCTGTTTGCTGCCTGCTTGCCTGAGTTTTTAAACCTCTCATCTTCCTTGGCCAAACAGTGCCTGGAGCCTGCTCAGCTCAGTGTTTGCTCTTGGTCATTACCAAACTGTCCCTGCTGCAGCAGCAGCACATCCCTGGTGACAATTCCCCACTAGTGACAATCCCCCCCTGGTGACAATCCACACCCTCAGCTCAGCCACAAGGACCTGCCTGTTCTCTGCCTGCTGAGCTTGCCCTGGGCAGCCTGTACTTAAAAACCCACCACACCTTAAGCCCAGCTCTAAAAGCCAGCTGTTGGCAGCTGCAGGGAGTCCCACCCATGCACACAGGCACTCATTAAAAACCCATTTAAACCTCTGGATAACACCAGTGCAGCTGCTGGGGTGGAAGTGCATCTCCTCTGCTGCTCTCACAGTGCAAGAAAAACACCCTGAGAGCCCCAATCTGTTCCTCCGTGCTCTGGCTCCTTCTGTTATTCCTTTTCAAGAGCCAAACACAGAGCAGTGCTGCTTCAGCTCCTCCAGTAATTAGGGCCTTTGTGGCCAGGAAAGCATTTCCTGCTCAGAGGATTGGGATGAAGATCCTCGTTCCATTCTTAGCTTCTGCAGGGAATTTGCTTCCTGCTCTCTGAAGCAGGAGATTAACGCTGAGTTAGAAGGAGGAGAAAGTGGCCTCTCTTCATGAAATGGCCAAGGATGTTAGAGGATAGAGTTTTTGAAGTTTTTTTTTTACTAACTGCTGAAACAAGTGTGAAAAAGCCAGAGTTGTTCATGTTCGTGCATGTTCAAGCTGTGCCATGTGGCGCTTTTAAGATTTTGGGAGGGGATGTGTTAGAGGATTCCAGTCTCCTAGACTTTTAGAATTCCAGGAGAGCAATCTCAGGTGTCTCTGGGTGTCCTTGACACTTGGTGTTGAGTGGGAATTTCGCATCAACCGCCTCCACAGGATCACAGCGTGCGACAGGGAATTGGCCTAAAATTTTACTGATTTTGGCCAAGGAAAGGAAACCTGGGTGATGCCTCAGGTTTAGCTTTTCTATTTTTCACATTCTGAGCTGCTTTAGCGTGTGGCTCTGAGCTTCCCACGAGGGGATGCTGAGCTCTCTGCACAGAGCAGAGACAAAACAATTCCTGCTCCAGCTGGGCACCAAGGACAAATGATCCAAATCTCAGCCCAGGAGCACCAACAGCGTGGGCTGGAGAGAGAAAAACAAGCAGGATGGGACTGCCTGGGCTGGAGCTGGAATGGGACAATGAACTCCAAGGTGCCAATGGAGCAGAACTGATCATTTTGTGACCAACCATCCATTTTTTGGGCCCATTTTGGTTCATCTTGGGTGCAGCCCTGGCTGGGCTCTTGTGCTGCCCGAGGTGGATCCATTGAGGAGATCCTTTAATAAATCCCTGATTTATTCTTTAGCTCTAGAATAGCTTCTGTTCTAGATCAATCTTCACGGGAAGGAAACTTAAGTGGATTATATGTGAAAAACAGGATGGGTGGGACAAAAGCAGTGGAGAAAACCCATGCCAAGGTTGTGTTCCCCAGCAGGCGAGGAGGCCAGCGAGTACTGGGACGGCGAGAAGCCGGTGCTGGTGGCCCCGGAGGGCAGCACGGTGACGCTGCCGTGCGTCAACCGCCAGCACATCTGGACGGAGCGGCACAGCGAGGAGGAGCAGCAGGTGGTGCACTGGGACCGGCAGCCCCCAGGCGTGCCCCAGGACCGCGCTGACCGCCTGGTGGACCTGTACGCGTCCGGCGAGCGCCGCTCCTACGGGCCCCTGTTCCTGCGGCAGAAGATGAACGTCACCCGCGGCGCCTTCGCCCTCGGAGACTTCTCGCTGCGCATCTCCCACCTGGAGAGCGCCGACGAGGGCACCTACTCCTGCCACCTGCACCACCACTACTGCGGGCTGCACGAGCGCCGCATCTACCACGTGGCCGTGACGGAGCCGGAGAGGGAGAGGAAGGTGGTGAACATCACCACGCACAGCGTGGTCCCTGCTGCAGGTGAGTGTCCTCTGCTGCAGGTCAGCAGCACCTGCTGCAGGTGAGCGGTCCCTGCTGAAGGAGAGTGTCCTCTGCTGCAGGTGAGTGATCCCTGCTGCAGGTGAGCGGTCCCTGCTGCAGGTGAGAGGTCCTTGCTGCAGGTGAGTGTCCTCTGCTGCAGGTGAGAGGTCCTTGCTGCAGGTGAGAGGTCCTTGCTGTAGGTGAGTGGTCCCTGCTGCAGGTCAGCGAGCCCCTGCTGTCCTTGCAGAGATGGACACCGTTGCAGTCATCGCATTAATTCAAAGGAATGCAACCATAACCAGGCTAAGAATGATTTCATGCTGTTCTGTGAGAGACTCCAAGTGAGAAATACAATTTATAGGGAAAAAGGGAAAAGAAATAAAATCCATGCAATAATACAAAAGGAAAACCACTGACAGTCAGAACACAACCTGACACCCCTTTGGCCAGCGTGTTGGTAGCCATCCAACTTGGAGTGGCTGCAGCCCTCCTGGAGTGGCAGGCGTGGTTCTGTCAGAGCAGTGGTCCTGTAGAAAGGGTGTAGTCGGTCCAGTGAAAAACCCCAGCTGTTTCCTCTTGGGAACCTGTGGAAAGGCTGAGTCTGGTGTCCCAAAAACCCAGATTATATCCAGGTAGGAATGCTTGGCTCCTCCCTCTGGGCAGAGAATCTCACAATGGGATTTTCTAGTTCTTATCAGTCACACCATGATATTTAATAGCCCGTTATCAGCAAATGTCTCCCGAGAGAGGATTGGTTGAGGAACAGATAAGGAAAACTGCTCACTTAACAGAAAACATCTTGCTTCTCAGTCTGGGATGTGGCAGCAGCTCTCTGGTCACACAGAGCAACACACAACTTCCCCAGGTATCGTGCTGGGAGAAGTCTGTGAGCAGACCAGAGAAAAGAATGAGAAACAACTCAGATCGTGGCTTGCTGCAGCTGTTGTTGTGAACATGTGGAATGTGTTGTGGAGAGTTGTTTACCAGAGGGTGGTTTCTTAATTAGCCAATGGTGATGGCATTTTAACTAAAGGATCAATCAATTCCACCTGTAGCAAAGTAGGGTATAAAAAAGAGCAGTGGGTTTCTCAATAAAGATTGATCAACCTGCTGTAATACATGGAGTCTGTGCCAGTTATTACCTGGCTGGGACCCAGTGCTGTGGCACAGGTAAAGATCAGTCTCAGAGGCCACGAGATTTTCAAGAGCAAGCAGTCATTGCTCAAATAGCTGACTTCATTCAGGTCCTTCATTACGTGGCCATGGAGAGCTTTCTAACCCAGTGTTGCCACAGATTTATTTTGCTTTTCTGACCTATCACCTTTACTCACTGCCCCAGGGCAGTTCTGCACTGCTGACAGGTCCTGAGGCAAACAAGCTGCGTTTGGTTTGTATTTTTGTACAGCTCCCTCTCCCTTTTATTTGGTCTTTTTCCTCCATGCTTTAATGTAGGTGTGGGCAGGGGCTTGATCAGCCTTGGCTTTGCTGTCACAACTCTTCCCACCAGAGTTTCTCTCCTCTTTGCATGGGTGTTTAGGCTGTGCAAGGTGCCAGACCATGCAGAATCAACCACCAGGAATTTTCCTCCACCCTTCAGCTTTTCTTGTTTTTTTGGTGTTTTTTTTTTTTTTTTTTTTTTTTTTTTTTTTTTTTTTTTTTTTTTTTTTTTTTTTTTTTTTTTGCATGTGTGTGTGCCATAAACCAATTTTCATATTTTCCACTGCACTGAGCTATCATCTGTTAGCCTGTCCAAACTCAAAACCATCACACTTCATTCAGGCAGAAAAAGAAAACAAAAATCCTAAGTTTAATATTTTTTCTTTTAAATTCTTTTGGGTATAGTTCTTTATTAACACTTTAAAATATTCATTGTGTTTTAATATTTATTGGCTGTTTAATACAGAATTTTGATTTGCTTCATACATTTTTAAATAGGTTTATTCTCCTGTAGGAATTGGTTTTCTCAAGTCATAGAGACCTAAATTTTTCTCTGGGGCTAAGGTTGGTGTCCAGAAAATCCAGGCAGAGCTGAGGAGAGGTGGCTGGAGACCAGGACCTCCAAATATCAGAGTTCTGCACACAGCTCTTGAGCCTTATCCACAGATGGAAACCAGATCTTGTTTTCCAGAGTGGTTTACCCAGAAATTTATTCAGGGTGTTGTCCTGGGTAGTTCCCTACCTGCTTTGAAAGGAGGTGGAATCTCGGAGTGATTTAACCTGGCTGTGCTGGAGGAATTTCCCTTGCTGGCAAAAGCCACTTCCTCTGTCCAAACCAGCAGCTTTGGGATGAGCTTTGTGCCCTGCACCACTCACAAAAATGTGCTGAGTCCATGGGAATGTGTGAGCAGTGCAGGATTCCAGAGGTTCCCTTTTCCAGCCCCTGCTGGGAGCAGCAGGGGAGGCTGAGGCATTGCCCCATTCCAGGAAAAACTGCCTGGAATTCTTCTGGGGAGCACAGCATCAAAAAGCAAACCAAGGAGCTTTTTTCAGGCAGTAGCCTCAGCTCCTGGCCTTGCTCCAAGCTCCATTCCCAGACAGGAAAGTTCATCCTGTTTGGAACAGAGGCAGGGGCTCAGCAGTATAAATGTGGTGCATGTCTGCTGAAAGAACATTTTTACTCAGGCTTTGCTCTGCAGCAGGGGCTGAGGAATCTGTTGTGCCTCATGATTAGTGCTAAAATGCTGGCAAACATTTGCCAGATTTGGGGAGAGCTTTCCACTACTTCCAGCAGAATTATTTGGTCCTTGACAGTTTGGGAAGATCGTGTTAAGGCATTTCTTCAACTTAACATTTCCCTTTCACCATTAGGATTTATTTTTCAGTGGTTAAAATGTCCTGGAATTGAATTTGGAACAGAGGCAGGGGCTCAGTGCTGCTCTCAGGCTCAGCAGTGTAAATGTGGTGCATGTCTACTAAAAATGCATTTTTACTCAGGGTTTGCTCTGCAGCAGGGGCTGAGGAATCTGTTGTGCCTCATGATTAGTGCTAAAATATTGGCAACCCTTTGCCAGATGTGGGCAGAGCTTTCCACTTTTTCCAGCAGGATAATTTGGTCCTTGACTTTGAGAAGATCATGTTAAGGCATTTCTTAAAGTTAACATTTCCCTTTCACCATTAGGATTTATTTTATTTTCATCATATCCTGGTTAAAATATCCTAGCAGTGAATTTGGGGCAGGTGGATGTGAGATGTGCTGAGAGACCAGATCTTGGTTACAGAACAAACCTTCATCACCCCTGCTTAAATTCTGGTGCGACCCCATGATCCTGCTCTGGGCACTGCCAGTGGGACTGAGCTGTCCCTCCGTGCCTCAGTTTCCCCAGTTATCAAATGGGATACATCCCATTGCCCAGAGTTATTAGATCTCTGTTTCCACTGTTTGTTGTTGCAGTGACCTCCTCAGTGCTGCCTAAAGTTTAAACCCAGCCCTTATCCCAGTTCTGTGGGAAAGCAAAAAGCCAGGAATAGAATTCCTCTGCTGTGGCACCGTCTCATTATGGCAGCAAGGAGCCAGGGATGGGACAAAGCAGAGCTGTCACATGTTTGCAGCTTTGCAAGTGGGTTTCTTGCTTTGAATTGACATTTTTTAGCTTGGCAGGGTGGAAATCCCATGTTTTTTTCCAGCTCTGTATCCAGGGAGCACAAGGCTGCTGGAAATCCCAGTAAAAAGCAGAGTGCTGCTGGAGTGGAGCACTGGGCCACCAGAACAGAGCACATTCCTCAAGCTTTTTGATTTTCTAGGGCTGCTGTTGGCATTAGCAAACCATCATCTCTGGTTTCAGAGTGTTTATTTCAATCCACTCTTGCCTGATTTGATTTGATTTTCACTGGGTTGGTGTTTTTAAGCACTGGAAGCAAACTGCCCAAAAAACCTGGAAGCAGTCGCTGTGCCAGCACTGCCAGAAGGGTCAGGACACATCTGCTAAAGGCTGCTGTGGCTTTTGAGGTATTTCCCCTAATTTTCCTCTTATTCCCTCTGGGTAATTAGCAGGGGAACTCCAATGGGAGGTGAGGGCTCCTCGCTGTTCTTGCCTGGAGCTCTGTGAAAATTCCCTGTAGGGTGGGAAGGTGTAATTTCAGCTCTGTTTTGAAGGAAAAACCCTCTCCCAGCAGAGTCCTGTGGGATTCCGTCCATGCCTGGGCTGGCTTTGTCCATTCCTCTGACTGTTGCAAGCAGAGAAGTCACTTCCTCTTTACATGTGTAAAACATTGACCTATTTATTTGAAATCTACAGAAAAATGTTCCATGTAAAAGTTTTGAGTTCCTCTTTCCTCTGCTGTGGAACAAAAATCCTGCTGCACCCTCAAAAGGAACGGAATCTTGGCTTCCCTCTGTTTTTGAAGGGGGGGGGGGTTATTTATTTTATTGATTTTATTTCATTTCAAAGGAAGCTGATTTTTTGGCATTGAAAACTCTTCCCACTCCATAAATTATAACCCTTGGCAAGGAGGAGCTGCTGTCTGGAGCCAGAGCAGTGTGGAGTTTGTGTTGAAAGGGACCCAGAGGAGGGTTGTGGGACCCTCTGGAAGATTTGGGGCTGACTTTGCTCTGGAATTTCCCCCTGTGAGAACACTCTGATGGGCAGGGATCACTGTTCCCAGGGAAGGGATCCTGTTAAACCCTGGGAATTCTCATCTGGTGAAGAGCACAGCATCTCCCACCTGCCAGAGGTGCAGGGTGGTGTAAACCAGGCACGGATTAATTCTTGCAATTCCGAATTTCTCCCTGAGCGTTCCCACCTGAGATCCCATTTCCAGTGATGCCCTTTTCTCCTTCCCTCAGATCCAAACGTGGTCAGGGGCCACAATGTCATCAATGTCATCATCCCTGAGAGCAGGATGCACTTTTTCCAGCAGCTGGGCTACATCCTGGCCACTCTGCTGCTCTTCCTCGTCCTCCTCATCATCGTGGTGCTCGTCACCCGCAGGCGCCGGCAGAGGGGTGAGTCCAGGGAAAACCTGCCCTGCTCTGCAAATAATTCCTGCAAGGAGCAGTGCTGCAGGCAGGGATCCCCTCCTGGAAAACCAGGAACCTGCCCACTGGGGAGGACTTGTGGGCTGGTGTGGTGTAAAAATATCCAGACTTTGATTTTATGGAATTCTTGGTGTTGGAAAAGACCTCCAGGGTCACCAAGTGCAGGCTTTGGCTGAACCCCACTCCAGATTTCCTCTGTAGAGTGGAAAAGATCCCTTCACAGGTGGGATTTATCCCTTGGGAACTCAAGTTTCCAGGTCCCTGCTGTGCTGGGTGACTCTGTGGGATCCCATAAAGGGACACTGGGATCTCTGGATGACACCCACAGCTCTGATTTTGGGTTCCACACACCAGGAATGGGTCTGGACTGGCTCTGACTGCTCATTCTGCTTTTTCCTCCTGGTTAGGTTATGAATACAATGTGAAGAAATATGGAGAGTAAGTAGAATTATTTTTAATATAAGTAATATTATTAATTAGGTTGAGAATGCATTAAAATGAAATCATGGGCCGGCCTCCTCAGCTAATAGCCTAAACCTTAAAATCTGGTTCAGCCTAACCTGAAAATCTGGTGAGGAGGAGGAAGTGGAAGGAGAAAATGATTTGTGGGGCTGATTTGGCAATTGAATTTCCTCTTGGTGCTCTTTGGGAACTGATTCAGGGATGGAGTTTCTGTGAGATGTCCTTGGGAGCTGGTGGGAAAGGAATAATGCACAGATCTGCTGTGAGATGGGGCCAAGACCATGGAGCCCCAGACCTTGTTTTATAGGATTAAAGTGGAATAGAGAAGGGAATTCCAGGATTGGCTGCCCGTTGTTCTAAGATTTGAATCAACATGTGGGAAAAAAAAAAAAATCTCCAAAAAATTAGAAAAGCTAATGGGGAAAAGTGTGAAAGGAGACAGTTATTAAAGGATGGGACCATTTTCCACCATTATTCCCTTTTCAGGAAGGATGTGAATCTTAAAGAATTCACAGTGGACACGACAGATCTGACCCCACAGAAAAGTGAAGACATCAGGCTGGGTAGGTATCCCTGGCCACCAAACCAGGCCAGAATCCTTGTAAATCTGAAATTTCTAGTGGCACTTGGATATTCTGCAGTGACTTAACCCATTCTTGAATCTCTGGAAGTGGGTATGGACTTTATTTGACCAAAACTGGGTAAGGAGGAGTCCTGAGTTAGTTGAGTTCATTGTCTCCAACTTCTGTTGGAGCCACTTTGGTTTAACTTTCTGATTTTCTCCTCCCTGGCTGTCAAATCATTCAGTGAACATTTGGGCCTTCTGTCGAGATCTGTGGTAGCAATTAGGGCAGATGAACAGAGAATGAGAGGAAGAGAATTTGCAGCAGAGGCCCTGAGACAGAAAAGAGAAAATACAAATCCCCCTGGAAGTTGTGGTAAAATGAAAGCCACTGGGAAGAGGGAAAGGAAGCTCATCTCACACTGTGAAAGTGTTTTTTTTTTGGGATTTATAGGATGGATCTGGGGAATTTCCAACATTCCTGAAGGAAGATGCTGCTCCTTGCTGGGGTTTGAAGGTGCAGCCTTGAGTTGGTTGTGTCAGTAATTGATCAGGGCTTGGTTCTTGCTGGGATTTGGAGTGAATCCATTTCACAAAACTGCTGCTCCTGGCTGCACCACCCTGAGGTTCCTGAAGCCTTGTCATGATGCCAAGCTCACCCCAGCTGCAGTTTGCTTGATAAGCCAGGAAATAATTATCCCTTTGATTTTTTTATTTGCATCCCCAGTAAAGGTTCAACCTTTAAAAGAACAAGCTGACAATCCTTAGGTCCTAAGAATTGCTGTAAAGGCCCCAGCAAACAAAAAATTGGAAAGGAATTGCAGAGGGTGGGTTGCAAAAATCCTTCTCTGTGTGTCCCAGGAGAGTAAAATCTCTGGATAATTGCATCAGTCACCTCCAGGTGAGCTTTGAGGAGATAATCCAGAGCTGGGAGGATCTGTGGTGCCTGTGAGGAGCAGGGAGCTGAAGTTTGCACAACTGATTAATGCCAGGGGCTAAAATGAAGTCAGAGCAGTTTTCCTGCTGAGTAAATAATTCCTAGAAATCAGAGGTGCCAGACCTAGAGCACAGCAAGGAAGGACTGATCACCTCTGTCTTGCTCATAAAACTTCTTGTTTTCTTGAATTCTGCTCCTCCCTTGAACAGATTATAAAAACAACATCCTGAAGGAGAAAGCTGAGCAAGCCAGAAGCTTCCCAGCAAAGAACATTGATTTAGACAAAGGTAATCATGACTTTCTTCCCCTTAATTGGTGGCTGTAAGGACCTTCTAATGGGAACAGTCCATCAGTGAGTGACCAAGCCATGGCCAAAGAGGAATGAGAAACCTCACGGCAAAAGCAGGAATGAGAAGCCAGCTCCCTTCCCATCCTTTCATCAAGGAACCACAAGATGCAAGCAGTGATTAGGCTTTTAAAAACTCTGGGCATGGCACAAATTGGAATTTTTTCTGGATTGGAAAAAGAAAGCCTGGCAGGGCTGGAAGAGTGCCTGCTCTGCTGTGACCTCAGAGGGAGGGAGGTGCAGCCCAAAAATGTCCTGGCGTGGTGTTTGGGCAGAAAACACTGTGCAGAGGGAGAGTGTTTGGAGTGGAATTAATTTATGGGTAATGGGCAGTTACTTCATGCAAGAAAAGCAAACAGCTCTCCCTCCCTGGGGGCTGAATCCTGCTCCAGGATTGATCCCCAGGGCTGTGCCTCTGTTTGTGGGACAGCCCTGGTGTCAAGCAGGGCTTGTGATCAGCTCTGAGATTCCATGACTCATTCCAGGAGAATTAGGATTTAATAAATGGGGCTGAAATGACACCAAGCAGGGGATGGAGAGCCCAGGAGCTGTCTCTGATGGAATTCTCCTGGCATTTTCTCCTGCAGGGTGGATCAGGGCAATGATTTAGCCCCAGTCTGTCTCACTTTTTGATATCAGGGTTGTGGGTGACTGCAAGTGCTCACCCTAGAAATAAATCCCTATTTTTGTGCTTCTTTCAATGGTTTGAAATCTCTCTCCAGGTGCTGACCCCCCCTTTTCCATTTCTTTCAGATTTCAGAAAGGAATATTGTAAATGAAGACACTGCCAAGCTGCTGGCTGGACCAGAAGCTTCCATCCAAGATAGATAATGTGGAAGAGAGATGCCTTTTCTTAATTCCATCTCCCTCCAATTCCCACAGAACTTTTTCCACATCCACTTTTTCTGTACCCCACACAAGGGTGCAAATGCTTCATGCAAGAGTTAAACTGCCTTGTGTGCATTTATGGGGTTGGGTTGCCTTTTTCTTCCTCTGTTCTCCCAATCCTCCCTCCCCCTTTTCTTTCTTGACAATTATTGTTGGATTTTATGCATCGATGATTTTTATGAGCTGAATCAGCAGAGGTTTTGCTTTGATGTTATTGCTTTAAATAAAACCACCTGCATTGCTATTCCTGAGCCATCATTACACCAGGCATTTTTCCATGTGGTGGATCCATCAGGATAACAATGACAAAAGCTGATCCCTGTCCCAGGCTGGCAAAAATCATTTCACACAGAACTTGGCACCTCCCAGGTGAAGCACAAAGAGCACAGCCCTCCCAAAACCTCCTTTTATCAGTGGGGAAATGTCAGTATCCTCATTTTCCAGGGAAAGGGAAGCACACCAATGGCTGAGGGCTCAGCTGAGAGCTGAACTCTGCATTTCTCACCCCGTTTTTGTTGATTTGTTTCTGTTTCAGCACAGCCCAGAGCAGATTTGGCAGGAACATTTGGTGGATGCAGTCACAGTGCTGTAAATGCCAGTCTCAGGTAGATCAGGACCAGGAATGTTGTGCAGGAATGTTGAGCTCAGCCCTGGGTGGAACCTGGGATGGGATTTTTCTGCAGCCCTGGGGTGGATCCAGACCACACAGAGCACAGCAGACCAAAGGTAGGACCCAGAACAGGGAGATGGTTCCAGGAGGAACAGCAGGAATTGTCATGGACCAGGGGCTCAGAAAGGAAATCCAGGATGGGGATGAGTCCATTCCCATGGATTTGGAGTGGATTCCTGGAGGGGGGTTCTGCCTATGAGCACTGTCAGGTGGGGCTGCCAAAAAATAGGAAGTTGTAATGCAAGCAGGTCCAAACTTCAGGAAAGCTGTAAATAAGTTCAGTTCTTGGGGCATGGAAGGAAAAGGGTTTCCTGCTGTTGGGAGGGTGGTGACAGGGACTTGGTGAGGGTGAGGGTGGCCAGGGATTGCCATCCCTCTGTTTGGTGGCCTGGAGGGGGTGGCAGAGGAGGGATTTTTGTGGATGGAGCTGGGGCAGCATCTCCAGGTCTCTTTTCTTGCCAATTTGGGTGTCTTGTCTGACTAAATCCCATTCCAGCCCCCCTGTTCCTCCTCCCACGGGCACGGGGATCTCTGCTGGCTGTGGCATGGTTCCTCAAAAGCTGAGCTCAGCTCTGCCCAAAACGTGGTGGGTGAGGCCTCCGGAGGGGCTGTGCTGGCTCTTCACGAGCTGGGATGTCACAACAATGCACTTTTAATGACAAATAGAGCATGGACATTTTCCCACCTATTAATATGTCTGTTACTGAGGGCTGTGTTAAATAATTGTATTGGGGGGGCCTTATTTTCAATGCCTCCAAGCAGTAAAAATATTAATAATAGAACAGGACTAGAGGTGCAGGTGAGCCTTCCCAAGCTGCAGCTGAGCAGATCCTCATCCTTTATTTTTTTGACCCTTCTGAGAAATTGGAAGGGCCAAGAACTTAAAGAAACTGCTCTCCACAGGTTCTTCTGTGATTTGTAATTAATCACCTTTATCCTCACTGACCATCCACCCCCAAAAGTGCCCAGGATTAGTGCAGAGGAAGGTCTGGGGTTGATCCCAAGCCCCTTTTTGCCCTTCCCCTGACGCAGAGAGGGATTTTTACCCTGCCCTGAAAGCCAGGCTGCATTCCTGCAGGTGCAGGAGGCTGTGCTGGTTATTCCATCAGGGTGGCACAGCCTCAAATAATTGTCATTAAAGTCTCTCTCCCTCCCTTTCAAGTCTGTGAGTCAAAGGTTGGAGGTTTTTCCTTGCCAGCTCCAATTGCTCAGCACAGCTCAGAGTGGGGTTACTCATAAACTCCAGAGGCATTTCAGCATTTTGTCTGACTCCTGGGCTGCAGAGTAGCTGAAGGAGGGCAAAAATGAATATGTTCTCTGAAACAAGGGCTGGGAAGGGCTCTGTGAGTTCCTCATCTTTGCTTTGATCACTGGGTTTGGGTAATGGTCAGGGATGCCAGGTGGGGATGGGGTGGGATTCTGGTCCAGGATAACCCTCCCTGATCAGGATGAGATTCTAGCCCAGGATAACCCTTCCAGGTGAGGACAGGATGGAATTCTGGCCCAGGATGATCCTCTCTGATCAGGATGAGATTCTGGCCCAGGATAATCTTCCCTGGTGAGGACAGGGTGGGATGGGATTCTGGCCCTTTTTCCTTCAGGAGAGGAATGTTGTGTGATTGGCCTGGAGATCACCACTGTGGCTTCCACCAGCAGCCATTCTGTAATTTAGCAAATTAAAATTCTGGCTGAGAGAGAGCCAGGCAAGGGTTGGGTAACCAAGAGGAAAAAAAAACCAAAAACAACTGCAAATTTTTTTTTTTTTGGTTATTTTTTAATGCAGAGGAATGAACCAAGGCTGTTTGCCTGAAATCCTGGTGAGAATCCTGCATTCTCAGTCTGTGGCACTGCTGGGAAATCTGTGGAAATGAGAGGGTTCCACATGGAATTCCCCCCTGGGCTGGGCAGGAGCACTGCTCCTTCTTCCCAAACAATTTGGTTTTCCCTGTCCTTTTCTCTCCCCAATCTGGGACTTGCCTCTTGTGGAGGAACACTTGTTTGATGTGTGTATAGCACTTGGCCTGGGTTATTCAATGTAATTTTCTCTCTGTGCCAATGAATTGCTGCACTTTGATAAACTTCTTTACCTTCTTTCCCCATCACAGTCTCCCTGGTTTCCTGAGACATAGATTTTATATTTAATTAGTTAAAATAATAATATTAATAATAATAATCATCTTCCCCAGTATTTGTACAGCAGTTACCCTCAGTGAGAACTTTGCCTCGATGAGGGCAGAGAAATCAAAGTTATTTAGGGTAATAAATGGACTGTGAGCTCTTGGTGTGGGATAAGGAAATGGTGCTTGGCAGTGACCTTAAAAGGGGTTAAAATTGAGACTACAACTAAAACCCTCTTTTCAGCTCTGTGAACACTCTCCAGACTAAGAACTTCCTCCATAAATCTTGTTCTTTCCTTTGTTGTAACAAAATTAATTCTCATTATTATTGTTGCTTATTTTTTACCATTGGTAGAACTCTCCAAACATTTAAGAAATAAAGGAGAATAAAATGGACTTTCCAGCTCAGGCTGATTTTATTTCTTGCCCTTTTGGAGGTGTTCTCTCAGCCAGCATTAGATAATTCTTCCCAATAACTGTGCAGGATTGTTTCATCTCAGAGCATCCCAAAGTGCCTGACAAAGTGCAGATTGGATCCAGTAAATTATTCCAGAGATTCCGATAAAATTTCCACCTGAGACATCATTATTTGACAGGGTCATGGGGCCCCCAGAGGAATTTCAGCTCTCCAGAAATGTTGTATAAGGAACAAATCTGCAGCTGGAGATGGAGCTCAAAGCATCCAGCAGAGAGGAAGGCTGGCAGCCCTTCCAGAGGATTTCATTTGGTAGGTCCAGAAGGGAAGATAACATTTCCTGCTGGAATTTACATCTCCCTGCCAGCCCAAATTCCTCTTTTCCTTGCAGGACTAACACCTTGCAAAGTTCCTGCTGCACATTCTGCTCCTGCAGCACTTCCAGCCCCTGAGCACTTCCCCAGCTGGCAGAGCAGAGTTCTCCCAGGGACACTGATGGAAAAAGCTCCTGCACCCTGCAGGGACAAGGATTGCAAGGATCAAGGCAGGATATTGGGATAATTCACTTCTGGGGGGGATTTTGGAAGGAATTAGAGATCTTTGAGTTGGTTTTGATCCCAAGATTTATTTTTCTTCTACACAGGCAGGAAGGGTGAGTTCAGCTCACATCCTCACTGAATGGCTCAGAGGGTCACAAGACCCTTAGTTATAAGACATTTTAAGGATAAAACATTGCCAACAAGGATATTTATGTTTTTGACCCAATCCTTAAATATTTCATCTTATGGACTTACAGTGTGAGCTTTCTTAGCCAATCATGTTATGAAGGCAAACCTACAGTTCTGCAATCTAAACTCTTACTTGTATACCTTAAACTTTTTGTATATTTAAACATCAATCTTTTCTATCTAAAAGGTTTAGATATAAAAGGTCCAGGGGACCTAAAACACAAATAAATGTTGATTACATTTAAGCCCCGGGGAGCTTTGCAGAGGTTACTGCAAAGTCTTTTGCTTCCCTCTAGTGTTTAATGTCTCCATTTCCCTGTCAGTGACTGCCCAAGGTCCACTGCACACACAGGGAGAATAAAAAAGGATAAAACCTTGCAGATCTTGCAGACCAGATCCAGGAGAAGTTGAAATTTTCTCTGCTTCTCATTCTGTTCTGGGATAATTTCCATCTTTAGTTCATCTTCTGCATCTATCCCAATCTTGCCAACAATCCTCAAAGTGAAATTTTGTTACTTTACAGAGAAATCCTTGATGTGAAAACCACCCGGGACACCTCTAGGCAGGTGCTCAGAGCTTTGTTTTCCCTTTTGTCCCATCTTTTCACACCCTTATTTTGTGAAATATTGGCCAAATTTTTGCCCAAGACCAGAGGGTTCAGTTATTTCCCCATGGAATATTAAGGTAATGTGTTCAAGAATTGTTTTAGAGATTCTCCAGTAAAAATTTAGAAGTGCCTAAACCAAGAACATCTTGGGGCAGTAGTTTAGGTCAGAAGCTCTGCTGAGCACCCAGAATGGGAAGAGCTCTGAGACAAGCAACAGGCATTGCTGTAATTCTGGAAGGCTTTTAAAAAATAGCTTTTTTAAAGGGATTGCTTATTCCCTGTGTGGTAACTGCTGTGAAAATGAAGAAAAGGGTGAGCAGCTTTTATCCCTCCGCTCCCTGCAGGACTATTCCCTCTATCACAGAGAGCACAGCACTGTTAGCAGGAGATTTGGTGCCTCTTATTTATTTTTTGCTGAAGTGTTAAGGCCTGAGCTGTGCTGGACACGAGGTTTTAGCCCTGCTGGGCCAGGGGTGTATCCTGCTTCCCTGTGTCCTCTCCTTAATTGGATTAGCTGCTGCTTTGACTGCAGCATGAAGTTATCTCCTCTCTTCTGTGCTTTCTGGGGAGCTTTTTGTGAGTCCCAGAGCCAGTCTGATGGCTCTGCTGTGGGGTAATCAGCTGACAATTATTATTTCCAGCTGTCAGAAGTGAAAGAGAAGCTCAGGGAGCAAGAACAGCTCTCAGCAGGTTCAGGCTCTGGGAGGGCACCTGAGGAGCCCAGGAGGTCCTTAAGTACCAACTGAGGGGACCAAATGTTAATGTTTTGCCCGAGTTTCATGCTGCAAGAACTCCATAAAGCTCAGGAGCTCAGGAAATATTGCTCATGGCAGAGTTATGATCCCACCAAAGGGAAATTTCCCACTCATGCATTTGTGGTGCACTTCCCATGCCAGGAGCACTCCAGGGTGCTTGCAGAGCCTGGTAGGACAGAAAGCTAAACTCATATTTTTATAGAAATCTCTGTTATTCTCCTAATTGCAAAACTGAGAGTGAGAAACGCTTGGCTATCTTGGAAAGAAATGTATTTAAATATAAATAACTCTTGAAAAAGACTCTTTCAGGTGCCCTAAATTGGTGATTCCTGGTGATTCAAACCAGCACCATGGACCCCCCTTCTCTCCTTTCCTCATCCCCATCCTTTTCCCCTTTCCTGTCCCATAGTCTTCCCTATCCCCATCCCATCCTCTCCCTTTCCCCATTCCCATCCCCTTTCCCTATCCTCATCCTCTTTCTCATCCCCTCCTCTCCTCATCACCATTCCCAATCCCTTTTCCCTATCCCCATCCCATCCTTTTCCTTAACCCTTCCTTTTCCCATCCTATCCTCTCCCCTTTCCCACCCCATCCATTTCCCTATCCCCATCCTCTTTCTCTTTCTCATCCCATCCTCTTCCCTTTCCCCATTCCCATCCCTTTTCCCTATCCCCACGCCATCCTTTTCCTTATCCCCTTTCCCATCCCACCCTCACCCCTCTCCTCATCCCCATCCCATCCTCTCCCCTTTCCCCATCCCTTCCATTTCCCTATCCCCATCCTCTTTCCCATCCCATCCTCTCCCCTCTCCTCATCACCATTCCCATCCCATCGGTCTCCCCTTTCCCCATCCTCTTTCCCATCCCATCCTCTCCTCTTTCCCCATTCCCATCGTCTCCCCTTTCCCCATCCTCTTTCCCATCCCATCCTCTCCCCTTTCCCCATTCCCATCGCTTTTCCCTATCCCCACCCCATCCTTTTCCTTACCCCCCTTCCCACCCCACCCCACCCCATCCCTTCCGCGCCCTCCGCCGCCGCGGGCCGGGCCGTGCCGCCGCCGGGCCGGCAGGGGCGGTGTGCGGGCGGCGTGCGGGGCCGCGGCGGGCGCGGGCGGAGGGCGCTGCCCGGGGCCGCCCCGCTGCCGCTCAGGCCGGGCCCGCCCGGCCGGCCGGGGCAGCGCTGCGGCGGCGGCGGCGGCGGCGCAGCGGGGCCGGCGGCGCGGCCGGAGGATGCGGGCGGGGCGGGCGCGCTGCCGTTCCCGGGTCGGGCAGCTAGAGAGCAGTGCAGGGAGCGCCAGCCCCGCCGCCAGCCGCCTTCCTGTGGGCAAGGCCGACCGCCGCGCCGAGCGCCGGCCCGGGCCCGGCCCGGCCGCCCCCGCGCCGCTCGCCCATGGCGGAGACCAAGATCATCTACCACATCGACGAGGAGGAGACGCCGTACCTGGTGAAGCTGCCCGTGCCGCCGGAGAAAGTCACGCTGGCCGATTTCAAAAATGTCCTCAGCAACCGGCCCGTGCACAGCTACAAGTTCTTCTTCAAGTCCATGGACCAGGATTTCGGGTGAGCGGCCGCGCCCCCGGCCCTCGCTGCGGGCTGCGCTCCGCGGCCCGGGCGGCGCTCGCAGCATCCCCGGGGCACCTGCCGGGCTCGGCCGGGCCGGCCCCGCCGGGCTCCGGCAGCGCCGCGAACATGGCGGGCGGCCCGGCCGGCCCCGCCGCGGGCTCGGGGCTGCCGCGACCGCGGCCCGGGACCCGCCGTGCCCCCGGCCGGGCCCGCCCGCGGCTGCCGCCGTGCCCCCGGCCCGGGCCCGGCCGGGCGGGCGCAGCTGTCACCGCGCCCGGGGAGGCCGCGGCAGCGCCCGGGCACGGCAGGGCGGGCGGGCCCGGCGGCCGCGGGGCGCCGGCCCGGGGCGAGCGGCGACTGTCCGCGGGCAGCGCGGCTGGCAAAGCTGGGGGGGGGACGGGTGACAGGCGGTCCTGGCTGAACCGGTGAGAAATGGTCAGTGGTTAAATGGGGGAATAGTGGTCAGTGGTCAAACGGG